CCAAAAAAGATAGGCGAATTAGTGAAGAAGTGGAACATAAAAACAGTATTCAAAGAAACCCTCACACTTTCTTCTGCTATGCCATCTTTTAAAGAGAAATATGACCCTTTATCGAGATCCGGCTGCTACAATATTGTTCGTTCATGTGGTCGATGTTATGTTGGTGAAACATGCTGGAAAACACAAAAATGCTTGTAAAGGAAGCTGGTTCCAACGGTCGGAAGTACCCGAACACATGCTAGAAACTGGACATGGCATAGAATGGTTTTAAACTAGTCGGTTTGCTGATCATGTTACGTCTGTGGTTAAAGGAAAGATAAGAGAGGCTATTGAAATTTATAGCTCAGAAATTACGTCGAATGTGAGGAACGGTGGTTTCGTAACTTGACTTACATTTTTACAAGCGCAAATCTCATTATCTCAACCATACTTGCTTACGGACTTACGCAGTCTCAGTCAGGCGTTTCTCTTGAGTCATTCGGCCTTGATGATCAGAGCCTTTTGATAACTCTTATTTAGGACCGATAGTGCTTATAGACACTAACACACATACACACACACACATACACACAAGCACACACTCGAGCAAAATTAGCAGCACCAGTATGAAATATAATTAGCCAAACCACTCTATATCTCTATAGGTTTTTAATTTTGTTTTGCTTAATTGAGTCTTTATAAGAGGTAAGATAGAGCCGGATATTCTTCTTGCCCTAGTGTTAACGAGAGACTTTTACAGGAATGACCGACATTTCTGATGATGTCCATCGAATGATGGACGAAAGCTCAGCCCGTTTTCACCCGAAACGAGGGATGAAGTCTCGTGAATTGCGTCGACCTGAACGTCATATCAAAGCCAAACGGCTGCAGTACAATGGGATTCATCCGTCCTCTTCTGAGAAGATCGACCTACGAATCTATTCTTCGTGCACTTTCATACGAAATGAAAGTCCTCCCAACAATGTTATCTCAGGAGTTTCAACGAAACCCAGTTTCTCTTCGTATATCTTTATCCTGCTCACACCCCTTCATGAATTACAGACATAAAAATTTCACCTGTATTACAATTGATAAGCTTCGTACATATTTAAATTGCCATACATTTTCGAAATCATATTCTTCTATATTCTCTCTTTCCTATTGCTACAGGGACAGTTCAACCAATTCTTTCATACATATGAGATCTATTCATCCTATTTCGATTAGAGTGATATGTGAACTGGTAGTGGAATTTTCCTACAATTATATGAATAGACCTTAGCTGCCCATTAAAGACCAAGATGGTGTGACCTTCCGTTTAGTCTCAGTCTCCTTTAGCGATATTGTTCGATCTTGTTTTCACAACTTTGTCTAAGCGTCAGGGAGACCTAGATCCGTGCCCTCTGACATAGTATTTGTGATCTCCTTCATTGTACCATTGGCTGGGTACATTCTCAAACGTT